GCTGGAGGGGGGGTCGGGGGAGGGGGGGTTAACTGGAACCTTCTGTTGATGTCAAAGCTCTGCTCACTTTCTGTTCAGCTGTAGTAAATACGCAGAATTCATATATTGACCAATGGGACGACAGCGTCAGTCTGAAGACTTTTAGTACATTCCAGATACATGGGTGTGTTGAGCTCACACACACACACACACACACACACACACCTGTTTACTGCATATGTATTGAAAACCAACCTTGACAACCTTTGAGTTTGTTAAACACTGTTGTCAGGACAACAGTATGAAAAAGTCTTCAGAGAGAGTGTGTGTGTGTGTGTGTGTTCATTAAAACGTCAGTACAGACAGAGTGTGCCGCGGCCGTCAGGTCAGTGACCCGCTCACCTGGATGGAGGTGACTGCTTCCTGGTGAGAGTTAATTGACTGGCAGTTTTCAAAAGTCTGCCAGCTCCAGACTTGAACCTTCCCCCCGTCTGTGGGGCGACAGAGCGTGAGGTTAACATGTGCTGACAGGCGGCTGGCAGTCATTACAGCCGGTCGCAGCTGAACCCACCTGAGCCCGACTGCCTAAAACACGAGTCTCTGTCTCTCTGTCTCTGACTCTCTGACTCTGACTCTCTGACTCTGACTCTCTCTGACTCTCTGACTCTGACTCTCTGACTCTGACTCTCTCTGACTCTGACTCTCTGACTCTGACTCTGACTCTCTGACTCTGACTCTCTCTGACTCTGACTCTCTCTGACTCTCTGACTCTGACTCTCTCTGACTCTCTGACTCTCTGACTCTGACTCTGACTCTCTGACTCTGACTCTGACTCTCCGTCTCTCTGACTCTGACTCTCTGACTCTCTGACTCTCTGACTCTCTCTGACTCTCTGACTCTGACTCTCTGACTCTCTCTGACTCTGGCTAACAGACCGCGTCCCCGCACATTACGGAGCACGCACGGAGACTAAACACACGTGCGTATCCACGACAACAAGACAATTAGAAATATGCATCTGTTGTAAGATTTCATTCTCACTGCTTTCATCTGCTAATGGTTAGCTACAAGTCCTAGCTACGGCTGTGGGTCCTATAATTAAATATAAAAAAATATTATATTGTTGTGCCTATGGTGTCGCAATATATCGTATCACCAGCTTCGTGCCAACACACAGCCCTGGTGCTGACACAGAGAAACTGCTGGTTAACTGTGTTACCCGTGTGTGTGTGTGTGTGTGTGTGTGTCATTATCTGACTCCTGTTTTTTTTTCTCCTACATACGACGACTGACTGCACATAAATGACCTGATCCAGTGACGATGTAGCCGTCGCCCATGGACACGAAGCAGAGCGCCGTCACCGAGTTGAACGTGTAGATGGATTTAACACACTGGCCTGCAGGGAGCAGCAAAACACTCATTTAGATGACAAGACACACACCAGCAGTGATATGTTGATTACAGTGCACACACACAGACCCCCCTCCTCACCCCCCCCACCCCTCCAGGCGGACTCTGACTAATAAGTACATATGTTTATGCAGAGATTTGTTCTGCTCACGTGTCTGTGGTTAAGCGTACCGATGTTCAACGCCCAGATCTTCACAGAGCAGTCCGCCGAGCCGCTCAAAATAAACCGCTCCTTGTCGGACAGAGACAGGGACCTCGCTGTTGACAGGACAAACACGGACAAAATTGCAAGAGAGAACGAGGAAAGGGAGAATGGGGGTGAGGGAGGGGGGGTCGAGGGGGTGAAGAAAGAGAAACCACCATGCAGACAAAAAGATTAAACAGAGGAAGCTGTAAATAAATAATGATCTTCACAGGAGAAAAATGAGACGGCTCCGAAGGAAGGTTTAATGAAGAGCCGCGGATCAACGGTCCGTGATTCACACCTTTGATTTACACACGTTTTAACTGAGCAACGGGATTCTGATGTCACGCTTCGAGGCTAGTCCTAGCAGCGGGTGAGGAGGGAGTGTCAGGGTGAGGCCACTGTGGTGGAGTCTACGTGATGACAGACGACCGTCTTCAGACAGACGACCGTCTTCAGACAGACGGTCAACTCTCCAGTGAGAGGAACCCCTCGTGGGGCTGATCTGATGAAGTGCTTCTATAATTACCACAGGCTTTAACTCAGCTTCAGTCTGCACCGCTGGACAGATGGGTGTGTGTGTGTGTGTGTGTGTGTGTCCTCACCCAGCCTCCTGCAGTACTCTGGGGGAGGGGCACAGAGACAGGTGACCCCACCTGTGTGGCCCCCCAGGTTCTTCTGCTCTGTTGCGGTGGGGACGTGCCACACCTTCACTGTCGTGTCTCGGCTGGAAGTTCAATTTTAGACACAAAAAAAAAAGATGTTAAGTTGATTTAGACTAACAGAGAATAAACCAGTCTGACAGTGAGGGGGGGGGGCAGGGGGGGTAGGTCTATCGTATGATTGAAATTTTAAATCTGAATAATCAAATTTTTTTTTATTCCATTTAACATTTTTAGGTATAATTTAAAAAATATATATTTTGACTGGAACCGTCAGACCAACATCAGCAGATAGGGGTCAGTGTTTCTCACCTGTTTTTATCTGCTAATCCAAATGTTAGATTTTTTTTTTTTTTTAATTATTAGTAAAAACTGTCTCTTCATAGAGTCGTGTATTTCAGTCCTGACTTCATCTGGACGGGTTCTGGTAGAACCTGTGGAACCTGGTTCTTTCTAGACTTCAGTCGTTGTCCTCAACAATGTTAATCAGTCTACAGTCCATCTGACTGTTGTGTCTGATGGACTGATCTGACTGACAGTGTAGTCGGAGACCTGAGTCAGGGCCGCTGACCAGAGGTTTGTGTAAATAACAACATGTGCATCAAGGACCACATCCGTGTCCACAGCCCTCATCTTTAGTCACACTGAAGATTAAACCATCACATCAGAACGGCTCTACCTTCCAGAGATCACCAGGTTGTCGACAGCGACCACACACGTGACGATGTCGTTGTGTCCCTCCAACGGCCGCAAGCGAAACTTCGCCTTCTCCCATGATGCTCTGAGGGACGTGAACTCAGCTTCTGAACAAAGAAATAATTTGTGCAATTAGCGCCGTTGACTGGGGAGCTTGTTGTCGTACACACTCCTTCAGTGTGGATTAGTCTGTCACTACAACACGTGGAGTTAATTTAGCTCAGAGGCGGCGCCGCACGCTCCTGTGAGAGAGGAAAACGCTGCCTTTGGATTCAGGCAGACTGAGGTGGGAAAGACGAAGACTGGCTTCATCTGAATGAAGACGTTGAACGTTCAAACCCCGGGTTACACTGTGTCAGTGTGTGTGTGTGTGAGTGTGTGTGAGGGCTTCAGTCCACCTTCCTGTCGTAGCTGCTGCTCGTGTGGAGAGCTTCCTGTCGGGTCTGGGCTCTGATCTGACTCCCGGTCTTCTCGGCCCGTCTCTGCGTCCACCGCTGTCTCCTCCCGTCTGACAGCTGGTGACGGTGACGCCTGCTTCTTGAACTTCTTGTCCCCCTTCAGGATCTTTGAGGCAGGGGGTGTTTGTGGTGGAATGGCCTCAGGAGCATCTTCTCTGTGGTCGGTGCAGAAGGAGAGAAAGAATGAAGAAGTTTGAAACCCATCTGCACATACCACACCAACTTCGATGCTCCGTGTCCCATTTAAAATGGCACCAACAGTTTCTGATGTAAACCAGACAGATTTTGCCTCTTTGACCTAATTTGATGACGTTTGAAATCTGTGAGTGTCTTCAACGATGCTCTCGCAGATGTTCCCGCGGCCATGTAACAACGGCAGAGAGACGAGAGTGTGTGACAGCGTGTGACCTCCGATGTGTTTAACAAGAGGTATAAAAAGATGAAAGGACACAAAGTGGATGTTGTGCTTTTGAAGCATTATCCCCTCACACACCCCGGGTCCCTCTCCCTCACTTCCTTACACTTGTCTTTTCATCTTCTCCTTTTTTCCGTCTCCCACAATCCCCAGAGTTTGCTGCGGGCCAGAACGCTGCGGCTGAAGCTCAGCCAATCTGGAACGCAGCTCCGCCTTCCTGGAGATCTGAGAGCAGAGAAGGCACAAGATTGGTCGCCAAGCAAACTACTACATTCACAAGTCGTCTGTGCGCACCAGCAACACACTTGGCTGGTCCTGAATCGCCAGACCAGCAACTGGCAACGTGTGCTCAACTTCTGATTGTCACTGATGAAAAATGTATGAATGAGTGAATTAGGACGGTCAGCTGACTGTGACCAGAGCAGCAGACCGTCCTCAGGTTCTCTTCACGTCATTTGGAACGTGTGTGTGAAGGCCGTCAGGGTTCCTCGATAGAACGTTGTTAAACCTTAGCCTTAGTTTTGGACTAGGAACCAACACATGACCGACATCAGTGGAGACGGGAGCTGTAGTGACACAGACGACGTGGGCGTCAACAGTCAGTGACCTTGGTATGACCTGCTTTCACTTGAACTGTAAGACGTGGAAGAAAATCAACAAATCTACAAATGCATTTTTAATCAAGGGCATTATCAACAACGACCACATGGTGTCAGCGTGATTAGAGCTCTTGCCCTTGAGCAAAAAAGATCTCTGGTTCAAGCCAAGGTGGAAACTGATAGTGTTTCCAGTTTTGATTCAAGTGCCTTAAAAGAGGTTATGGGGAAGAACGCCCCCTTCTGCCCATATCTTAAAAGTCCAGAATGTAAATAATAATAAAAGATAAATGTTTACACAGTTATGAAGAGTCCAATATTATATATAAGATAATTATTAAAAGAAATATTTTCCTTTTTATTTGCTCATTTTGTTATTTTCAAGACAGAGCACAGGGAAATGATTACTATTATTAATTTATATAAGTAACCTGCCCCCTCCAGCAGGTGGCAGCCTAACCCTAACCCTGGTTCTTGCTCTATCTGCACTGATATGTTGTTTTGTTTTTGTTTTTCCTAAACTGCTGTTGAACAATCACCTAAATACCTGTCAGAGTTTCTGAGCACAGGTTCCACTACAATTTTTCATTAAAATATTTTTCCACACGACCTCGGAGGCAGAGCTATTGACAAATCAACCACTTCAGATTTGGATGACTTAAATGCCCCAGATTTGTCAGTATGGCAGGCAGGAAATAGAACTGCACCAAGCAGAGTGTTTCCCACAGGGCTGGTGTCTGAGAACCTGAGTTCTCTAATTTAAGGAACAAACTGAGACGTTTAAATTGAGTAAAAACTAGAAAATAACCATTAAAAAAAAAGTCTTTCTGTTCTGACAATTAGTATAAAAGAAGAATCAGAAAAAAATGAACCTGACGCAGGACTCAACACTGGGTCAGAAAATGTCCTCGCAAAACAAAACAAAAAATACCCCTGGATGAAAATACTACACGATAGAGTAATGTAGAAATACTGTACACAAATGAATAAAGTAATCAGAAACACATATGTATTGCACAGGTACTACTGTGTACTACTGTGTACTCCTGACTCCAAAGAATCTCGGTACCAAATATTTATATCTGTGTTTGTGTTTGAGTCACAGTCGCTGTTATTTCCTGACCTTCAATTAGCGACGACATTTAAAGACCATCATTTTCTCCATTTAAATCAACTGTATTTTAACAGTACGTAGCTTTTCCAAAGTTTCTGATAATTTTTTAAAAAATCTTATTTTCTGCTCTTTGGATTTGAAAGATTCTGATTCCTAACGGTAAAGTCTGTTTTTGTTTTCTATGCTGTTGAAATGTAGTCATTCATGTTCACGCTGTTGTCTACACACAACACATAAACTCTTTAACTGTTTCCTGTTTAGAACAGAGATTTTATCCTTTATTTATTCTTTATTCTTTTTGTCACTTTTCTTTTTTAAGAGTTCCAATGTGGAGGAGTTTTTAATTTCATGTTCATCTGCTATTTTTCCAACAAAATCAGAGTCGGTGTCTACCAGTGTTCCAAAGTACCACCAGTAGAACGTGTGCCGTAGGTTGACAACCACTGTCCTGGTCGATGAGTCAGTGATTAGAGGACGATTGTTCGTATCGTTTGTGCTAGTATCGCATTTCTGACTTTTAATGTACGTGTATTTTCTAAGTGAAGTTCGCGGAGATTATTAAGAATGAATATGTGGAAGAAACTACGAACAGACGAGAACAGAAACATGGCTGTGTTTGTTGTGATGGAGACACAACGAAGACAACAAAGAACACACAAAGGCAGACAAAGTGTTCCTCTACCTTAAATCTCTCCTCTGGGGTTAGACTGATTTTTATTTCCAGATTCTCAATCTGTCTCAACTTCTTCTGCAGCTTCCTCACCTCCCCCATTTGCAGCACGGCGCTGGCGCTAACACAGTTTAAAAACGGTCTTTTAAACGGACTCACTGAAGTGTCAAATGCACGGAATTAACCTTTAAATTGCTTTTAAATTATAAGTAATTCTGGACACGACTAAAACAAGCATAACGATTGTGTTACACAGACTGACTGAGGGCAGACGTGTCGCCGGATGTTGACGATGTCTTAAACGTCTATTACTGTTTTTACAGCTCCATCATGCGAATAACTGAGGTATTACATAGGTATTATTATTACTTTTGCTTGTTACATAAACCCAAATCCCAACTTAAAATATTATTTTTATTAAAATAATACTTTTAACAAGATTGTTGACTGGTTTTATTTACATGTTTTATTATCTACAGGAATGTACATTACTGTGATATTAATGTAGATTATGAACATTTGTCTCGTTTGTCTCTTAGTTTTTATTTTTGCGTTTTGTTTTTATACGCTTTAGCATTAATATATAAGCACGAATTTAATATTCAGAAACAAAAGTGATAAATCCGTCTATTCTGGGCTAATGTTAACAACAACAGTGCAATCGTCGTTTGGTGGTGATTATAAATATCACTACCTCGCCTTTGTGTCTAAATTATATAATTTAATAATATTGTATTTCTGTACTGAATAAATTATACATACAAATGTACTCAGTTGGGATAAATATGTGATAACAGTGCGTAACTATGTAAACATGTAAAAGAGAGAAAATAAATGTATCTGTTAAAATGATTATTATTGTACAATATTATTCTGAACAGGATATTTAAGAAATGTCTGGTTTAGTAACACGGAAAACAGACCAAAAACACGGTTTAACATGAATGTCGGAAACACAGCGTCCGTGTGCGAATAACTCATAACCAAGAATTGTGTATTACATGTCGTATAACTATGTAACATGACTACAATTACCACATATTACTACTTTTCGCGAATATATACTTGGTAACAACAGCGCACAGGCAACAGGTCAGTTACAATTCATGTTTAATACACTTTATTTTTGATGTAAAGACCTTTAAATGAAGCGGTTTTGTGTTACAGGAAGTGACATCACACATCAAACTCCCTTTGTCTGACGGCCTCATCCGGAGGAAGTGGAGCTCAGGCAGGGCAGCCACTGTACCGGAGGGGGGAAAAACCAGAAGGAAAGAAAAAAAAAAAAGCTAATGAGGAAAAACTTCAACCTTCTGCGGGAATTTTTTGACAAATCCACAAACGGTGCCCCAATCGACCCGGGCCTCGAGAGTTCCGGGAAGGAAGACGGTGTCGTCGGTACCGGTAAACAACACTATCCTCCATGCAGTTGTAGTATTTTTGGGTAGATTTGAAGCAGCGACTTTGCTGCCGCCTCTCCACCCTCTCCACAGCCGGAAGTCGGTGTGGACGGTCTATTGATTTTTTTTCCCCCTCTTCGCTTCGGTTTTTTTTTATGCTTCGGTTTTTTTTTCTGGTTGTTTTTTCCCTGATAGGACGGCGGAGCAGACACTGAGCGGAGCTGTCTGCTAACTGTATGCTAATCAGCGCGGTGGCTTTGATTAACTACTGCACGTAAAGGGCCAAAATGGAGCCGTGATGTTGAGCTGTAGCTGCCTGTAAACATTACACACCAGTGACTTTCGATTGACCATTACACTCGGAGACATCACCTGTCCTCTGTTACTGGTTTTGGTTTTATTTATTATTATGTTATCGCATATTTTGTACTGGTTGTCCTTGTAGTCTAACGAACGCTAAAGATAACAAGGAAAAGGTAACTGCCTTTACGTGATGAGCAAAATCGTCTCTTATTCTTATCTTATTGTTGTCGCCCAGAGACGAGCAGTGGAAAAGAAGCTTTTACATCGACTCGTTTGTTTGTATTTATTGATATTTTTCTCATTCGTCAACTTTTTTTAAGTTAACCATATTAGTCGTAGTAGGAACTATGACTCACTACAATCCCGGACTTCGCGTGGTCAGTAAAGTTAATTGTACAAAATATAAATGTCTAAATATATATATAGACGTATATATGAATTTTTGTATGTACAGTGTTGATAGCCCTGACACGGAGTCCGAGTGTAGCAGCTTGACATGAACCAGCAGCAGTGTTGGAATGCTGTGTGGTACGGTGGGAGGGTGGAAGCACGAGGGGTCAGGCTGTTGAACTTGAATGGTTGTCTGTCATTGTTGTGCAGTTGAACTTGTGTCTCTGTTTTTCCTCCTTTTTCTTTGCTAACACATTGTCTAACACAGAGGTTAGTTTTTTTTTAGCTTATCTTAAACATATTTTATGTCTTTGTTGATTGGACGCCACATATTACAGATTTTCTATTTGATTTAGCCAGCAGTCATTTTTTATTTTTTGTTTTACTTATTGACAAAAACTCACTTTTCCATCTGACTGCTGCAGGGTTCTGTTGTATCGTCTCATGTTGTTTTATGGCTCCCTCCCATTTCAAAATGCACAGGAGCATGTTTTATGGCCCCCTCCCATTTCAAAATGCACAGGAGCATCCGATCCTTTTTAAAAAAATGTTGTCATTTATTTTTAAGTTATTTGTCCATTATACATTACCCAAAGCAACATTTCTTTCCTTCAATATGAAACAATAATGCAGATCCTGCAACGTTCCCTTTTTTCTGATGCCAAAGAATGACCTCTAGAATAAAAAACTAGTATTTCATATCTTCTATAGTCCACTCACCTGTAAAGACAACAGAGTTTAGTTTTTGTTGTAGCGCTGAATCTCCTTTATGTTTTCTAATCAATAACGCAGCTTCATATTGACCTGTAGTTGAAATGTCCTACATTACACCACAAGGTTATTCTGGTAATTTCTCACTTTTATCAGAAACATAAACCACGGTGTCTTTGACGAGCACTTTCACATTCTTTGTTACTCACAGATTGATCTTCTTATTTACTGGTTAAATTGATCAAAAAACAACAACAACATTTTATTCTCTTTTGATGCAGTCACCGAATCTTGCAGTTTGAGGCCAATTGCAGAAATGATGGAAGATTCACATTTTAATTCATCATATTTCTGGTCCCCCATCTCTGCAGTGCCAGGCCAGGTAAGACGGAGTGTTTATCATTAAAGTGTTGATGTTTTTCATCCTTATTTCACTTGTTAATTATCTGTGTTGTAGACCATCCACATTAGATTTGTGTGCAGTTCAGTCAACGTCTCATCCAGTCTCTTCTCTCCCAGCATATTGAAAATGCCATGTTTCTGAACAAGATGAAGGAGCAGCAAGAGAAAGCCTCCTCCTTCTCTTCTTCCTCTGCGTCCCACTATCAGACGGCTCTCCTCACCATCCCCTCAGCTGGCTCTAAGTCTGAGGGAGGGGGGCAGGCGGGCAGCGCATCGCACCTGCACCCCCCCCACAGCACCCAGAACATCACGGTGCTGCCTGTGCCCTCCACGGGCATCATGACGGCAGGTGAGTCTGATTCTGCTCCCAGAAACCTCCAGGTCTGCTCAGGTTGACATCCCATACCGTCTCATGGACACGGCTTGGCTCATGAGCACACATTCAAATCAGCACGTTGAACCTCCGAGCACCTCTCTGCTGCTGCAGGCATGAACCCCACTCTGCCCTAAATTATTTAAAACCGTGGGGATTTCCTCGGTACCAGTGTGCTGGGGCTGAGGCACACGCTCACATTCCACACATTATTTTGTAAATTCTACTGAATAACAGTTTTTTTTTTTGGAGGGTCTGACACCACACAGTGCAGTCTGCTCATTATGTTCACTTGTCTGTGCAGTAATTCACTTTCACCTGCCAGGACAACGTTTCAAGGGAGGAGAATGTTAACCAGCAAGAAATGAATGGGTCCATGAGGAGTCCACCGACCACTGATTAATTAGACTGAAAGTCTTCTTTTAGGTCGACTCCTGGAGTTGAATAAATTCTCTCTCTTTTGTGCACACACACACACACACACACACATACACACACAATCAACTGTTCAGACTGAGTCGTTATTTCAAACCGATCACCAACTTCCTGTACTTACGCTGATGTTCTAGAAGAAACTTAAAACTCTCTGGGTTCCTGTGTTTGGCACTGCAGTGTCTGCAGCCTCAATGTAACTTTTGTCCCCCCCTTTTCCTCTCAGCGGGTTTAGTCATCACGACTCCTCAGGGAACTCTCGTCTCTCCCACCTCCTCTCAGTCCTTTGTCTCTGGGCATCCAGCGACAACCATGATCGTGTCAGCGCTCCATCCTCCAGGTGAAACACTCTGAGCGGAACATCGTCATGTGACACGCACACAAACGAAGCAGTTGACCACGTCATGATTGATCGAGGCAATGATCGGTAACTTTTGTTTTTCTCGTAGACAAAAAAGAAGGTGACGGAGCGCCCCACGTTGTTGTGATGCCAACGCCGTCCAAACGAGGCAGAAAGAAGAAGACGACCGTGACCATCAGTTCCATTGGAGGGCAGGGGCATGAAACGATAATGTTGGCACAAGCACTGACGGGTGGCAGTCAGGTAGGACGGTGACGTGTGGTGTAGTGAGCTAACAACCTGAAACACAAAACAATGTTTATCATTCAGTAGGGATGTAACGATGCGTCGTGAATCAGTGAAAATCAATACAAATACGTGACGATTTTCATCGTTTGAAATCAAAAATTAAATCACACCTTAAGGTGTAAGGACTAGACTGTGTTATCTTAAAGTCACTGGTCATAGCGTGACACTACCCTCTCCAGTACAGTAGGCGGCAGTATGCTCCTAAAAACGTTCTCATTATTCCTTTTTTTTTCCCAGCATCACAGTCGAGACCCGTATGACCTTTCCAATGAGGATGAAGACCACGGTCCAAAGGACAGCACTAAGACCTACAGGTGAAATAACAAACCGAACCTGCACGGTGTGGACAGAACCACACTTCACTGCATGTCAGAGCCACATCAGCTCACTCTGTAGTCAGACCTGATTCTCCTTCAACGTCTGTGTAGATCCTGGTCCGTCCAGGTCGTGCTTCTTCAAATCGTGTGAGTCAATAGTTGAGTTGAAGACATTTGGGTTCTGGGTTCAAACATGTCGCCTTTTCTGCCTCGTTTGCGTAATTTGGTGCGACGTTGTTGAGGACGTGTGTCCCCCCGTATCAGAACCACAGCCAGAGAAGGAGGAAGAAGAAGAAGAAGCAGTGGGACAGAACCTCAACAGAAATGTCCAAACCAGGAGGACGAAGAATTCTCTGTCCACACTCTGTCTCTAACGTCCACACAGTCCACCATCGTCTTCAGGCTCTGTCTCTGTTTGGACTTCTTTCTCAGCAGGTACATCAGCGCGACAACGACGTCACCGCGTTTGTTATTGTCTGAGAATCAGACGTTGGCCGCGAAACAACCGTTCTCAACATAAGGCACACGTGGGAGTATTTGGGCAGTGATGTTTAAATCGGCCACAGAGAGTAGACGTGAGGGTTGACCCCCCCCCTCCTCTGGGGGACGGAGTGGGTTTTTCCACTGATGTTAGACAGACAGCCACTTTAGTGGACTGGACCATGTGGGCGGTCCAGTCCACGTTACTGTACCTGACAGAAATCATGTGACTTTAAATTAGTCCGACCGTCATTGGCAGTTCCAGTCAGACCGGCGACCCTTGACCTCTGCCGTCATCCTAACAGAGTGCAGCGAGGGTTAGTCTTCAACTACAGTCCAGGTCCGGTTGGTACTGACTCACATGATTCCTTCTCTGATGTGTGAGAGACGATGACATCACAGCGTCATGGCTGCCTCTGTCCACTCTCCTCCTCCTCCTCTGCGGTGCATGCTCTCAGTTGTCTCTTCCTAACTTCCCTCTGTCCTGCTCTGTCCCCCGTACAGACACCTGCACATTCCTCTTCCTGTCCTCTTCTCTCAGTGTGTGTGTGATTTTTTTTTTTTTTTTGTTACCTTGTGTTGATTCTTTTCTCCGCTTTCTCTTAATTGATCTCTTTTCTCACCTCTCATTTTCTCCTTTCCTGTAAATGTATCATTTTTCTTTCCCCTTGTTCTTCTGCCCCTCCTTCACCCCCCTCCCCTCCCCCATCCTGTGTGTCTCCGCCTGTAGGTGCCGGATGTGTGCGGCGACCTTCTTCAGTAAGTCTGACATGCAGATCCACTCCAAGTCGCACACAGAGGCCAAACCTCACAAGTGTCCCCACTGCGCCAAGTCATTTGCCAACTCCAGCTACCTGGCCCAGCACATCCGCATCCACAGCGGGGCTAAGCCCTACTCCTGCTCCTACTGCCAGAAATCATTCAGGCAACTCAGTCACTTACAGCAGCACACACGGTACTGCAGACCCCCCCACACCCCCCACCCTCTCCCCTGATCTTTCTTAAGCGACCCCATGACATGTTCCCTGTTCTTTTGACTTGTTCTGCCAAGTTCCTTCTTGAGACACAGAGTCCTGTTCTCTGCCCCTCCTGTGGAGGGAGGCGGTGTAGTTGACACGTGTGCATCACATTGCATTTCAGATATATGCCCTGCATGCTGCCACTTGCATCCAGCAGTGACCTTAAGGAGAAAAAAAAGTGATGTTGGAGTCGCTGCGTTTGTTGTTTGTTGGCCTTCATCCATTTGAAATAGATTTTCAATAATTCACAGTCTAATCAGAATGGCTGTTAAAAATGCATGGATTCATCATCTGTGTCTCTTCTCCTGTGTGTGTGTGTGTGTGTGTGTGTCCACGCCGTCCTGTGGACTGTTTGCATGGCTGTTTGAAATCTGACTTCATACAGTTTTACCTGTTTCCACTCTGTCTTCATGCTGCTGCTGCTGCTGCTGCTGCTGCTGCTGCTTCCAAAGAAACACATTTGCATCTGTGGATATATTAGAAGTACCAGTTCAACACTTTTGCATAATTCCATATGGCTCAGCTCAGCCACGGTGCTGTCGTGCTCTGCTTCCAAACTACTGCTGTCCTGTGTCCGTGTCCTGTAGCGTCTCTGTTGTTGCATGTGGATGTTTTTTTTGTTTTCATCTTCAACTGATGATGATAGAGTAAAAGATCTGACCTTCCAGTTGTCAGAGAAAAGCATGGAAAATAGTCTGATTTTAAAAGTAAATGAAGCTTCACCTGAGAGAAATGACAAAAAATATCAACTGTAAATATTTACTACTGTAGTGCTTTTTAATTAAATTAATTTAATTTAACCCTGAATTCCTACATACACCAAACACACATTTTCTCACACACACACACATATGTACATATACGTATGTATGTGCGTGTGTACATATATGTATGTATATGTGTGTACACACATACATGCATATATACATTCATGGGGTCTTGTTGTGGTAAATACCAGGATGTGTTTTTGTTTCCGTGGTTTCCCGCCTTCCTCTCTTACGACCTGTTTCCTTTTCTCTCGCTCCGACCCATTGGCCGTGGACCAGGAATCACACGGAGTCGAAGCCTCACAAGTGTCCCCACTGCACCAAGTCCTTTGCCAACTCCAGCTACCTGGCCCAGCACATCCGCATCCACACCGGAGTGAAACCCTACTCCTGCTCCTACTGCGAGAAGTCCTTCAGACAGCTGAGCCACCTCCAGCAACACAACAGGTGAGTCCGTCGGTGTTTTAATGACAGTCGGCCGACGTCACCCTCACAACAGTCGGAGTGTGTGTGTGTGTGTGTGCGTATACGTAGACGTCTGCATTTGTCTGTGACTGTTTGACAGGATTCACACCGGAGAACGGCCGTACAAGTGCATCCACCCAGGCTGTGACAAGTCCTTCACTCAACTCTCAAACCTACAGGTGAGGAGCAGGAACTACGTAGAACGTTAAAGAACGTGGGGGGAACTTGTTCCACAGACACAGACACAGTGTTTTCCAGTTCCTGTAAAGAAAGGAACTCTTGTTTTACCTGGTGGTGGTATTTTGAGTACACAGACAGTGTTTTACCTGGTGGTGGTATTTTGAGTTCTTACAAACAAAGGTTCATTGGATTTGGCCTGGGTTCAATTCCAGAGGAACCCAGCAGGGGGCAGCCTGTTGTATCAGATCTTCAATAAACTATCAAATGATTAGTACTATTATAAAAGTCATATTATGGAAAAACAATAATCGTACGGTGAGTTGAGTGTGTCGTTACATTCCAACTGATCAGCTGATCAGAACTAAAGTCTTCTGTCTGGTCTCTCTGTGCCACTTTATTTTGTTTTCCCCACAGTCCCACCGGCGTCAGCACAACAAAGACAAGCCCTACAAGTGCCCCAATTGTAACAAAGGATACATAGATGCAGCCAGTCTGGAGGTGCACATGTCCACACACACTGTCAAACACGCCAGGATCTACTCCTGTGGCCTCTGCAACCGCTCCTACACCTCAGTAAGACAAATGTCCATTTCTGAAGAGAATTTCTACATGAAACACTGTGAATCTGCTCACTGGCACCAGACGCCTGACACCTGCTTAACCTCATGTAGTCACATGTCCACTGTTTACCCTTTACCTGTCCTCCCCTCATCTCAGGAGACCTATCTGGTGAGACACATGGAGAAACACAATCCAGACCAGTTGACTGTACCGGCAGTTGTGGAACAACAAAACCAGAACCAAACCCAGGGCCAGGCAGGGGCTCAGAGCCGCTTAGAGGGCACAGATAGAGGATCAAATCGCTCTGGAGGTGGAGGTGGAGGTGGACGAGCGAGTGGAGGCCAGCAGGGGCAGGGGCAGAGTAACTACCCCCAGACAGAAAACATCCCCTGTCCCTTTGACTTGCACCAGTACAAGACAGTGTCTGCCAACGACCTCCAGTACAAACCAGTCAGTGTTTCTGACATCAGCTCTCACAAAGATCTCTGTCTCACTGTGTCGGCCTCCGCCATCCAGGTGGAGCACCTCAACTCCTAGACTGAAGGAGAACGGAGGATTAAAGCAATACTGAGACGGAGAGAGAGAGAGAGAGAAAAAAAAGAACATTGAACACATTAGACTCTGCCTAAACAAATGTTTGGGACAAAAAAACAAAACAAAAAAAAAACCAACGATGATTTTAGTGACACAATGTTTGGAGACTATCACTCTGTTTTATTACGTTTGTCTCTTATTTTCCTTCTGCCTCGTTTGCCTTATTTTCTTTATGTTTAGCCGTCCTGTCTGGGTATAAAGTGCATGTAAAAGCTGCAATAAAGTCTGTCTCATCCATCACACTGATGGTTTTACAAAAGAGCTGCAGTGGAAGGAGCAGAGCTGCTGTTATTGACTCACCTCTTCACAGCCACTCCTGATGGTCGCTCTGTTTATGGACGTTGACTGAAGGGAATGTTTTTATACTTTCATACTGTGTCTCTCAGTTTTTAGTGTGTACATTTTACCATTTAAAAAAAACAAAACAAAAAACATCAACACATAACTGCAATAACATGTTTTTAACTTTAAAGGATTTTAAAGCTGATTTCTTTTTCAGGAGAGAAAAATGTCAACTCAAGTATATATAAATATATGAATAAATATATATATATATATATATACACTACTAGTCAATAAATGGTAATGTGATGAAAGGATCTATTAACTAGGTCTGTCACACTAACTGTTTTTTGTTCCTTCTCCCCTAAAATGTATTTATATAAAAACTTCAGTTTAACCAACTCTCCGGTCGGTGTCATGGTGGTAACAGGCTTTTTATCAAATACTCATTAGTGATGTTTGGTTCTGACCAAAGTGACCGATCGTGACCCGTCGAGCGGGTCAGACAGAAGACGCCACAGTGACAGGAACCGTTTGGATGAGAAGGATAAAGAAGTTCTTGTGACAGACCTGGTGCTTCTTCACAGTCCTGTTCACAAACATCGACAGAGTTTAGCATGAACTTGTGGGTGGGGGGGCCAGGGAGGGGGGGGGGGGGGGCGGGGCGGGGCCGGTTCTTGTTTTATCTTTNTCTATGTGCTGTGCATATGCTCTCAAAGTAATCAAATGTGTACTTCATATTATTACTACCACAATAAACATTTATAATACTTCTTTCTAGACATACTGACGCACCAGAGGATTGTGGGTAAAAGTGTTTTTTACACAATAAACCCCCTTGAAATGTTTTCCCACCTCCCAGTTTATTGTCATATATGAGGGGTATGAACAGACTGTGAGACTGTGTGACATAAAACTGATTAAACAATGTTATCGTTAATGACAGTCTTAAATGTCTTTGAAGGTGAGGCATCAGTTAAACAGAATAAAGGATTGGATGTTCAGACACAAGTTCTACCACCATAAAAACATGATTTTCTAACATGAATATTCAGACATTTGTTTGTACATAAACATTATATTCTTATGCCCTATTACAATGTATAATAATGCATTAATGTTTCAATAAATTACAGCTGCAACATGACACAGATTTATTATGTACAAACATAAACACAAATATGTACACATCCTGTATTCAGAACATAAAATGTATTTGTCACCAGAGCTGGAATGACTGATTTTCTCTTGCAAAAATATTCACTTAAAGTAATATTTGGTTTATTCGAAGCTCTGTGTTGAGAGTCAAGTATTTATTGTCGTGTACATAGTTAAAAACACTGGTTTTTCCTGTAACAAACAGATCAAAATTTAAACATATATATTCCTTTTTTTTAATTATTAGAAATGTTTTATAGGTGAAAATAAAACGCGTTTTCCCTAATGTGACTACAACCGGTGCCACTGTAGCTGTGACGTCGTTTGAAGCGCGTCTGCTCTGCAGGAATGTGAAGAGTGCGAAGTGTTTACAAAAGTGGACTGTACCATTAGAAGAGCGGGGGGGGTAAATAAGCAAAACTGACATTTATTTATATATTTAATTTCTAGTATGATAATCAAAATACGGATATTTAAACGTAAAGAATCCTTATTTCCATTTTGGTATTTTCTAGAAAACTACGAACAACGGACCGGGTTTGTGAGGTTGTCAAACACTCGGACTTGGTATCGCCCACAGAGCTCCGCAGACTGCGGTGAATGTACAAAACCCCCTCTGTGGGCTATTAGTAGTCTAAAAAGAGAGGCTTTAAAAAACTTTACATTCTGTGCTTTTCACTGTTCGTGAGCTCAGGGTTGTTGTCAACTGTGGACCGAATCCGGAACAATCCGCCCGAGCCGCCGCTGACGTCTGTATGGTGTGTCCGTCCTCACTGCGTCACTGACAAAGTGTAGGAGTCGAGAAACTTCACTTATGTAAATAACGTCACAGGCAGAAGTGTGTGAGCAGCGGCAGGTAGCCGAGCACATGTAAATATATATTTATAAATCCGCACATGCTTTACTAACCAGCCGGCTGTCAAACATGCCGAGGAAAAAGCCATTCAGCAACAAACAGAAGAAAAAACAGATGCAAATCAAGCGGGAGAGGAAGAAAGGTAACTCTTTTACCCTTTGCTTTTAGCACTACTGGGCTAGCATTAGCCGCAAGCTAACGGTCCGTGCTAACTTAAATAAACGCACTCTAGCAATTTACGTCAAGTCCAGTCTATTCGTACAGCACAAATTCAGAAAAAAACACTGTTCTTCACAGTTTTGAATTGGAATTAAAATTAATAAACGGCATAACTCATATAACGGGCTAAAAATAGAGGAGTTTATATAGTTGTTCTGAGTTCATAACATTGGCTGTGTTTTTTAAAAATCGTCCCGAGTGTCTGTGAGAAGACATGTTAGGTGAACCTTTAGCTTGTTGTGATGACAAGTTACCCTGGAAGCTAACAGTAAAAATAAAAAAATAAAAAACCGACTTCTGTCCCAGGTGTTTCAGATCAACATTATCTGAATTTAAACCAGACACGATCTTCAGCTACAAGACAGCACTTAGTTCTGTCCTCTTCAGTTACTTCAGCTGGTGATTCGATACACCGCGATCACAGTTTCGGTGTTTTTCATATTTTATGTACAACACAAATATTTAATCCTCAGAATTAAAGGGGGGTTCCCTTGTTTTTCTGTCTTTAAGTGATGGAGACCTAATAACTTTCATATAAAACAGAGCTATCCAAAGAAAGGAAAATATGTATATAATATATATATTCAAAGATAAGTTTATTTTGTGGGAACAATTTCAGAAGGGTTGAAAGTTTTAAGCATTTCTTAAACATTGTCTACTGCAGTATTTTCACTTACGTACCTCCCGGGTGGTGCAGGCCGATTGTTGAAACTCATGCAGTGAGTTTTGAATGAGTTTGTTGATCACCATTGTGTTAGAGTGTAACTGTGGGCCGCTGACACTCAGGTGACACAGGATCTGGACCGAGCAGTCGCAACGCCAGCGCAGAGCGAGGAGGAGAGCGACAGTCGGATACCTCGGACAGTGAGACCAGCGACGTTAGAAGAATAAACCAGCAGCCGTTCAGCAAAGACGGTCGATATGACCCGAACAGGTAGGAGGTTATATAAACTTAAGAAGATTCTGTTGAGTGGCCACTAGGGGTGTAACAAAATATCAACACACTGAAGTATCTCCTGATCCCGTATCAATCTCCTCAGTCATTGATCAGTTATTGATTTTCTCCAATATTCCTGGTGTTGGTTCATGTTCTACTTCTTTTCTTTCTTCTCTAGTGATTCCAAATGTAAATCCCTCTGTACTCTGTGTTAGTAACCTGATGTAACATTAATATATTGTTGTGACTGTAGTATCGCAGTGTATCATATCGTCGCCTCTGTATCGTTCTACGTATCGTATCGACAGAATCTTGCCACAAATTCTTACTTCTTTCATTGTTGTAGCTTCAAACCAGATGGTGTAAATGTTATTTTAAACAAACAAAAACCCACTCTCAAATACATCTCTCAAAAAGGTTTCGACTCCACTTTGAGAGAGAGAGTAAAGAGGAGGTGGAAAAGAGAAAGAAGACGGCCAGGGAGAAGCCGCTGCAGCAGGTCTCAGAGAAGGAGCTGGAGCTCAACATCGAAGACATTTATCCAAAAGACAAAGGTTTGGGTTTTTTTTCCTTTAAATACATTTCCAGATCCACATCTCTTAATTTCACATATCTGATTTTTAACAAATTGAAATTTCACTTTGCACTGCCAGGCCTTGGTTTCCCACGGCGACCTCCATGGAATTATGGTATGGCACGTGAGGATCTGCTGAAGAAAGAGGAGAAGTCGTTTCGACTGTATCTTGATGATCTTCTCTCCAGGAACCCACTGGGCTCCCTCAGCCACTTCGAGCACAATCTGGAGGTAAATGATTGGTTGGTGCAGGAAAATATGGTTTGGTCTTGAAGTTAATAATTGTTCTACTATCCTATGGACACTATAATTGATAGCCCTGTGACATCATCAGTTATAATGTTGCTAACTATCAGGACATCAGGTTGTCTCCTGTGTTCCTGCAGCCCACTTCTGTGTGGGTCAGATGTTAACCAATGGGCTTCACTTTTAGGGTTAACTTTTCTGCATTAAGTTATTTTCATTTGTTAAAAAAAAAACAAAAAACGATGGTTTGTGTATCACTTGAAGTACTTGGGCTCCCTCTAGTGGTATAGAGTGGGATCGGTTTAAAAAAAGGAAAGTGAACAAATCTGCTTTAACAAATGTAGGCACTAAAAATATAAGGCTCAGAAACACTGAGTCACTTCGATGTCAAATATAGCTGCCATAAATATATATTTAAATATATATACTTAAATATATATTTATATATGAAAAATCAATTGACAGCATCCAGACTGTGTTGCTGACACAAATGTCTCAGATCATGAGACAGGTCGGGTAAGGATCCCACGTCCCACAGGATGTTACCTGAACTGCTCTGTGAATAAACCTTCACAGTGTGATATCACTGTACAATAACATTATTCCACAAACTGACCTCAAACGTCCAAACGCTGCTGCTGGAGCTCAGTGGACGGATGTTTCATATCTGCACGCTGAAGTACGCTGAAGTATTCATAAGGCCAGGAAATAGATTTGGACCAGAGTGAAACAGAGCGATCTCCCAAATTCACTGCATCGTAAATCACTTCCCTTTGGCTTCGACTTCTGTGTATATTATGTTTGGCAATGACACAGAGAATTATGACTCAGTTCTTTTCCCCTCATCAGTAGTCACGGCTCTCCCCGGCCCCTTCCTCCATAAATCAATACCAGCAGCAACATGTTGTGAAGTTTATTTAACGAATAATATTTTTAAAAAGTAATTTAATCTTTTCTGCAGACGTGGAGGCAGTTATGGAGAGTTCTGGAGATGTCTGACGTCATTCTGCTCATCGTGGACATCAGACACCCGGTAGGAGATGATCCTGATTTTCTTTTGAATTCATCCTGCCACTAGATGGAGACAGAGTGTAGGTTTTTTTTAAAGGCTGCGTGTGATCTACGTTAGAATTGTTTATTTTCCCCTTAAAATAAATATAAAATTATCAAATGACTTTAAAGCTTTAATTCAGTAATGTTATAAGATTAAGACACTTAAAATAAGATTAGACTTCATATTCATTCCACGGCAGGAAATTCACTTTTGGAATGTGATCATAAGTTAAACTAAAATCATTCTTCATGTGATATTTTAAGACAACCTAGAAATCTCCATCTGCAGGTATTGATAGCTGTCCTTTTCTGACCCTGTGATTCCGTGTTACACCTCCAGGTGCTGCAGTTTCCTCCAGACCTGTACCACTACATCACCGGAGACCTGAAGAAGCAGGTCATAGTAGTGCTGAACAAAATTGACCTCTGTCCCGCTCCACTCATCATCGCCTGGAAACACTACATGGTGTCTCAGTTCCCAGACCTGCATACGGTCTGTTTCACCTCCCAGCGTGGGCCGACCAACACAGGTGAGCAGCAGCAGAAGAAGAAGAAGAAGACAATGTTTCAGTTGACCTGAATTACCTTATGTTCAAACTCCTCCTCCGTCTGTTGGTCCGTAGCGTCACAGAAGAAGAAAAGGAAGTTGGACTGGAGTCATGCTGCCGGTCCTGTGGAGGTTCTGAAGGCCTGTCAGCTGCTCACGGCAGGAAATGGTGCCGACCCTCTGTTCATCTCTTCATCTAATGTTCAAACCTTTTCATTTGTGAAAGTCTGAGTCAATGTCTCCCTGTTCCTGTGCAGTTGACCTGTCCAGCTGGGAGCAGAAGATTCACAGAGACGCCTCTGCAGTGGGACTAGACGAGGACAGCGCAGATGAGGCAGCAGAGTCGGTGCTGATGGAGTATCAGAGTGACAGTGCCATGGAGATGAGCGCTCCGTCGGAGGAGCTCTACAAAAATGGAATCCTCACGTTGGGCTGCATCGGTAAAACGACTCCCAGCAGCCTGTCTTTAGTCAAATGCCTACATCACCTACTTATATCCTACCTCATCATCTAACTGATGAGATCAGATCAAGCCCAGTTGTGTTCATTCACTGATTAATATAATTAGAATGTGTCGTCATAAGAGTGGACAGTGACCTCTTGTGGCCAAATTGTAATGTAATTGTTAACATGTAAAATAATATATTTTTTAACATGATTAGATTGAACTCATTTATCCTGTTGTGTCCAGGTTTTCCCAATGTTGGGAAGTCATCTGTGATAAACAGCCTGGTGGGGAGGAAGGTGGTGAGTGTGTCCAGAACTCCAGGCCACACCAAGTATTTCCAGACCTACTACCTCACACCTACAGTCAAACTCTGCGACTGTCCTGGACTGGTGTTTCCTTCACGTGTTGTCAAACAACTGCAGGTACGACCTTTAACCTCTCTCGTACCAGGGTGAGAAGATGAGGTTCTGGGTTAGGTTGCTAACTTTTACGGTTGAACGTTAAAGATTCTGGCCGGGATCTACCCAGTGGCCCAGGTTCAGGAGCCCTACAGTTCCATCGGTTATCTGTGTGAGAGAACTAATTTCCTGTCCGTGCTGAAGATCAGACATCCCAGCCTACAAGACCTGCCCCCCCACCAAAGGTTCGAGGGTCCTGAGACCCTGAGCTGGACTGCCTGGGATGTGTGTGAGGGTAAGATGGAGCTCAGGTTTGGAGGAGAATCCATCAGAGGATTCATCTCACACGTCTTGACGTTCACCTGTTCTTCTGCCATCTTTAGGTTGGGCGGAGAAGAAAGGATACAAGACGGCAAAAGCGGCTCGCAATGACGTCTACCGTGCAGCTAACGCCCTCCTACGGTTGGCAGTGGACGGCAGGTTGTGCCTCTGCCTCCGCCCCCCCGGCTACAGCTGTCTGAGAGGTAACGGTGTCGTCAGTGAGTCATGGTTGAAGGTGTAGTCTGAGCAGCAGGTCGGTGACGCCACCACTGTTTTTAAACCGCAGAGCACTGGGAAACCCACACCGACCTGCAGGACGTCGTGGCTCTGCAGGGGCGGACGACGGACGAGGAGGAAGGAGCTGGAGACCGGGCCGATGAGGAGGAGGAGGACGATGAGTCCAGCTCTGAGCCGGAGGAGGAGAGAGACAGAGATGCAGACGATGACGACGACGACGACGGAGACGACGATAAAGACGACGGGTTTGGTCGCCCGACGCGTAAGGATAGCAAGACATTTGGAAACGCCGTCAACATGTTCAACATTCTCAGCACCATCGAGTGTGAGTGAACAGACCCGCAGGTCGTCGTAGGTCGTCGCTGACGTCTGTTCTGCTGCTACAGTAAACTTTGACTTCCCAAACATTCATTCCTTTTTTTTTAGTCGCATTAACAACATATCTTCAAGTTTCTGACTCCACACAGAACCAACTCATCTACGTTGGCCCTCAGAGGAACAATCAACAAAAATGTGTTTTTTTTTTTCTGCTTCCTGCAGTGAATTGTGTTTGGTCTTTGGACTAAAATGGCAACGTTAGGACAGAAGATTAAAAGAAAGTGCACAGTGGACCAGATGTTGCTCAATCACTGGAGCCCAGTCAGTAAAGCACCGCCGTCTACCTGAACTCAGCTGTGGGGAAATAAAACATCCAGATCAGTTCTCCGTCTGTTTGAACTTAGCGTCGTACTTCACCACTAGGGGTGTAACGATGCAGAGTTAATGGGTTAAAAATCGACACAAATCCATGACAATTCAACACATCTGTTGAAGTAAAACATGAATCTCACATCAAGGTGTAAGGAGTTATCTCAGAAAGTCACTGGTCAGACCATGACACTACACACTCCACTACAGTAGGTGGCAGTATGCTCCTAAAAACTTTGGACGTGACCAACTATTAAACCCAAGAACTTGTTCCACTGTGACACAAAGAGTTCTCTATCATAATTATCATCCTCATCAGACTCAATGTTCTTCACACTCCTGGGCCGTATCTCTGGGCCGTATCTCTGGGCCGTATCTCTGGGCCGTATCTCTGGGTGGTTCCCAGTAAATAATTAAACATCCCCCTTCCTCTAAGATTGGAGTTTGAGGTGGTTAAATAGGTGGTTAACGCTCCTCACACTGTACTAAGTGTTCACTCTGAATTGACCATAGGTGTGAATAGAGCAACGCTGCCCTCGCCTGGTGACTGTCGGTATTGGTCTGCAGGTCCTGGAACTTCTGTTCATTAGTGAAACTTGATTTAGTTTAATTGAGCGTGGTGTGAATATGAGTGTGTGAATGAGATGGTCCAGGGAGTAACTCTAACTCTAACCCTGACATGGACAATCTACGGCTTGTGGGCCAGAAACAGTCCACTGGGTTTTCTAATCCGGCCCAACAAACACTGGCACTAGATTTATAAAGACACTGATGTCTGTCATGCATTACAAAGATATCGGTTGTAATTTCAGTAATGCCACTAGGTGGCAGCAGAAGACAATATGACAAATTTACATTGAAAGTTTTAAGTTCTTGTACATTTTATTTATATTGTTTGGCCCGGCCTTTACAGAAGAACTGGATCTGAGTTTGAAATAAATTGAAAAGTATTCTCTCACCGTATGGTTATATGTCGTTATATATCATGATATATCGTATTGTTGCCCCTGTGTCGTATCGACAGATTCTCCAGCTCTGGTTGTTATAAAGACAATGACACAGAAAGACTTCAACGCTTCTGGAACAAGATGGAGTGTTCAGGACCAGAGAGTGATTCATGTTGTTGAGGACACCGACTGGACTGGACTGGACTGGACTGGACTGGACCTTGGTAAAGAAACTCTGGTTTCTCCCGTTGACAAATGGACCAGTTTTGTTTTTGTTCTGAGTGAGTGACATCTGGAGACTCAGCAACTTTGATCCAAATACATTTGGTTTTTGATTAAACCTGAGTCTGAGTGTAGAACAGTGTGTTACAGGACGGTGGGGCTTCATTAGTCATGGCCCATATGGGCTGCATCCCCAGATTCACTCCACTCAGCCGTTAATGAAATCACTTCCACAGTCATCTGTTAAAAACGTCAAACATCCCCGAGATTTACGTTCAGTCGTGGAGCTTTTGTGCCAGTGTTATTGTGGTCACATGATTCATGCTGTCCCCCCCCCCCCCCCCCTCCCCTCGGCTGTTACAGTATCATCTCATTATGTTTATTCTGACCCACAGGGAGCAGTTTCTGAGCCAGCCCCGTCTCTGTGATGATAATCACTGCTGAGCTCTGCCATAATCACAGTTTACGGTGTGGAAGTGGGCGGAAAACTCCCACATTCTCCATGATTTGGTTTCCGTGCCAACTGGTGCGCGCTCCTGACTAGATAAACTCAGAGGAGGCCGGAGCTGTCATCGGGGACAGTCGTCAGGTCACAGTCGGGGGGGGGGGGGCTGCTTCCTGTCTGCAGCTCTTACCATGCTGTGGCCCTTGAACTTGTTTGGCAGTGACTCCAGGCAGACCCCGAGCCCAGATTTAGTGCAGTGTGTCACCCTAAATTTCAACACTCCTAATTGAACTCCGCTGTGTTTTTCCCATGTGGTTTGAGTTGGAGGTCTTTCTCATGATGCAATCAGGTTGTTGTGGGGACTCTTGCCCCCCCTCCCTCATTTACCCTGTTCCTGCTCCCTCTGTGACCCCAGCTGACATGTTGGTGAAGTAATGAATTAGATTCACATGTGAGGCTGAGAGAGAGAGAGAGAGAGAGAGAGCCTGAACAGAGCGGCAGAAAATCTGCTTTTATTTGCTCCCCTGGGCGCCACACACACGCAACAACCCCCGACAACAACCCCCGACAACAACCCCCGACAACAACCCCGCACTAATCCAGGTGAGGATGGAGTGGTAAACACTTTCAGGAATTTGGGACAATATTTAATTTAATTATTTTTCTAAACTATATATATATATATATATTAGAAAAATAATTAAATTAAATATATAAATATATGTGTATTTATACCACTGACATCTGGTGGCGCTCTGACGAAGGCGGTTGAAGTTGAACGCCCAAACTGTCACAGGTGAAATGTCATAAAAAGTCATAGAAATAACTTTTACTATGTTGACGTGGTTGCCATGGCAGTGGGGTCGCTGTGACACACGGGGGGCTGCAGACCCTCTGTTGAAGACCTCTCCTCGTGCCTCATTTAACCTGCGATCCTTATGTTTGTCTTTGTTTACTCGTGGTTTTTGAAGGTTTCATAAAAACTGTTGATCTGACATGTTTGGCCTCCAGCTGTGTTTGGTATTCAGTACTGAAGTACTCAGATAATACCCCGGGTTCAGACCATAACCCTGGGTATGTAGGGCAGCCTCATTTGCCCTACACACCTGCATTACCTCCATTGACCTCAAGGGGGGCAGAGCCCCTGTTGAACACCATTTTTATTTGTTGTTTTTTTTTCTCCACTCTCCTCGTAGGTCAATAAACAGGGAACGACCTTTAAAACCTTGAAGTACTCCGTGGATATTGTCGACTACTTTACCTCAGGGGTCCATCCTCGACCCACGTGAAGATTTACTTCAAACTTTCTTGTCCTTTGTTTTTTGTTGTTGTCACTGTTTGGCAACGACACGTTTTAGTTTAACAAAAGCAGAAACTGGACGTCAAGTATTTGGTCAACATCTTTTAGCCGTTAGCTTCAGATCCAAACCGTATGTAGCCGTGAGAGTTTCAGGGACGTTCGGGCTGAGAACCGAGCAGGTCCAGCTCGGTTCTGGAGGTCGGTCTCATCACTGCCATGTTTCCTAATGACTGTCAGGAACAGACGTATTGACGAGGCGGCGCCGCTCCTCCTCAGGAGATCGGCTTTTGGTAAACGGTCCCAGCAGTGAGTTAGTGTGTGTGGGGGGG